TAGAGTGAACAACCTTTTTAGATGTCAGCCAATCATTTTTATCAGGTCGTTTTTAATCGACCTTCTGATGGTGACAGCTGTTGGTCATCCGGATTCAAGCACCCTGGGAAATGGTTTTGTGCTAGGAGCTGTAAGGTTTCCTTTCCAGAGTCCGTATATGAGCCATCCGGTCGCCTTAACGAGCCAAATTCCCACGTCGGCTCTCTGGAAAGAATCTTTTGGATTCTAGTACTGTGAGGTAGGTCAGTTATACTCTCACAGAATTTACTCCAAGATCTCCTTTTGCTTTCCTTATTTCTTCTGTTATAGTCCATTAGAGCGGATCTATATTGGTCCCAGTCGCCCGAAGCTCGATTAAAGAGGCGTCGAACTTCTTTTCTCATTTTATCCAAATTCTTGTTCCACCAAGACGCGCCTCTATTGTCCCTTTTTGTCTTCAGTGGACAGTTTTAATTGTAAACTGAGACAATTGCGTTGCGGATCTGTTCCGCCGCAATTTCAGTCTCATCACGATTCCTAATTGTGGTGATAGTGGGTTGAAGGTGAAACTGGAGGGAATGTTTGTACCCTTCCCAGCCTGTGCACTTCGGATCCCGATATGTCACCGTAGGTCTTGGACCAGCTTCTATATTGAATAGAATATATTTGTGATCTGAACACGAGGGTTCAGAAGATACTTTCCAATCGGTTATCTTGTTGCTCAAGTAGTTTGAGATGATTGTGATATCTAATACCTCGTTCCTATTTATGGTGACAAAGGTTGGTTCGGAACCAATGTTATTCACAGTTAGTCCTTCACCTAGTATTCAAAAAGTGACTCACCTCTTTGGTTAATGGTTGTGCTTCCCCACGCTGTATGGTGGGAATTTGCATCACATCCAATAACCAGGTGGATATTGTTCCTTTTGCTGTAGGCGATTAAATCCCGCACTGCAGCTGGAGGAGGTTGGTCTGCAACTCTATCACTCGGGAAGTAGGCTGAGCAGACGATAATTTCCATCTTGCTTCCTCCCTCCGAGATCGATACCTGGACGGCTACAATGTCCTGGGTTCAGTAACCTGTAAGTATAAAATAGTTAATGTTATTTCTGATCACGATACATGCTCTGGGTTTTTCATCAGAGCTGATTTCTATTACGTTGCCAGAAGTATTTCCCAGGCTGCTTATTCGGCCTGTGTTACTTGTCCAGGGTTCCTGGAGAAGAACGATGTCGATTTGATCTTCCTTAAATCTTTTGCTGAGGACGTATGTGACCGCCCTGGCTTTTTGTAGATTCGCCTGTAGACACCTAATATAATATATCATTGGGTAGTTGATTTGACAATAAGGATTATGGATAAGTTGTAGAAGTGGTGAGAAACGGTTAGGTTAGTTTGGGTTAGGTAGGATTCGGTTGTGGGTTTAAAAAGGAAGTTAAGGGGGCGGGATCTTTTCTCCTCCTCCCGGAAGGTGAATGTTTCTCACTCTTCCTGGAAGTGGTTTTGTCCGGGTTAGGTTCCCACGCCGTTCCCTTCTTCGAAGGTGATTTAATTCCATTCTTCTTCAGATGGGGTTTATTCGGAAGAGATTTTCCTTTCCCAGATGTTCCCTGTCGAGGTTGTTCGCCCCTCTTGGGAAATGATTGTGGTTCAGTTTTCCCTGAGGGAGTTCCTGCCATCGTTTTCTTGTCAGAGAGGTCTTTACCTCCTCTGAATTTTGGGCGGAATTGGATTTGTCCAAATCCGCAGAAGGGTCTGAAATTCAGTCCCTCCAGTGTAATCATGGACGCTTCATCTACTGAGAACGTTCATGTTTGACCAGGGCCAGATTCCTCCCGGTGTAGTACGGTCCACTCCCGGATATTCAAACCGAGGTTCATTTTCCTCAGCGTGTTCAACATTACTTCGGTTACCGGCGTCATCTGGGATATATGCCACACGGATATGAGGTTTGGGAAGGTCCTGCCTCTGCACAAATAAATTTAAAACGTGGTCCTTCCCATCGATGGAGGCGTTCTGTGACACTCTCCATCCACGAGGCACTCGTCCGATCCACACAGGTGATGAGAAGCCACCCAGGCCGTTGTGTGCAGCCTAGGAACCTCACCTGTCTGGGATTGCCTCTACAGCTTGCATTATTGCCTGCTGTAGTGCACCCATCTGTGTGCTAGTTAGGGTAGCCGTTGGATAGTTGGAATGAATTATGCCCACTCTGACCCACTCAACAGCTTCCCTAAAAAGAGTTTTACAGCTCCACTCTCCCGGGGTTTTTTCGCCCAATGGTATGGTGTGCTGTCGTTGGAACGCAGACGCTTACCGGTTACAGCTTGCTCAGAGGAGGTTTGCTGCTCTCACTGTGACTGCAGTTTGGTTAACCGTTGCTCTAACACTTTGCTTAAGGAGGTTTCGTATGGTATTCCGCTCTTAAGTAAACAACCAAGGTGTCTTGCAGCACCCCTAGTCATTTTCTCTTAAGGATGAGTCCATCCAATTCCTTGGATACTTCATCCCGTGAAATTCTCAATTCTCCAGCCCTTAGAGACGGGGACTTTAACAGCTCCCGCTCCTGGTCCGATGAAATTGAGATTTCTGATGGAGTAGAATTGATCCCAATCTCTATATGTTCTCCAGTTTCCTGGAGATCGAGAGCTTGCCTTTTCTCGTTAAGGTTGTCAGTAGTACCCTCCACAGCCTGACATCCCACTGTGTGTACTGAGTAGTCGTTGGCTGACGGTCGGGTGGAGCCTACTCTCCTACTCTCTTCCCCGACCGGAACTGGGGTATTGGATTAACTACACTGACATTAGTAATTCCGTAAATTTTTTGTATTTGCCTTTACAAAGAAATATATTCGTGATAAACGATTATAAATCCTGTCTACTATATCAAGCCTATAAGATATATTTCCAAGACTTAAATAAAACTAATGTAAACTGAAATTTTTTACACATTTGACCTCATAAAATAGGGTTAGCATAAATTTAATAGTTTGACACTTGAAATGTCTAATGTAGTTATAAAAATGTCAATGTCAATAAGAAGAAATTATTAAAATATATGACATGAATTATTATTGACAGTATCGAATGACGCTGATAATTAATTATTTAAAAATTCTAATGAAACATTTCAAGGTACACTATTAAAATTTAATTGAGGTAAGTGTAGAATTAAATGATTTTTTTAGGTCAGGATACTGGTATAAGAAAGTTATGTGCTGGCCACATCAGATATTTTCTGGTATGATTTTCAAAATCTACATAAAAAGTTCTATAATTTTTGTATTTACCATTTTTTTCGTAATAAAATAACAAAACTAGGGAGGTGGGAATTCTCACAAAATTACCCTGTACAGATCGGTTCAACATTATTATGTAAATCTGTGTATTTTTATTTTAGTATCTTATTTAAACAATGAGTGCGAGGAAGACACCACGATGTCACAATTACAAGTATAAAATAAGGATAGAAATGGTTAGGAATGCACGATCCACACACTTCTCAATTGGCGGAGGGCGTGGTCCTTTCTATCCTTATTTTACATTGTATCTTCTTCCCCGCAGTCATTGTTAAATGTAAAATACCAAAATTGAAATTTGTTTAGTCAGTTTGTCTGACAACATTGTATTTTTGATCCTGTATTGTATTGATTTGCGTACTGTTGTTTTCTTTAAAATATGCACGCGTTTTTTGCATCTGGTCAATCAGATTTTATAATTTTACAAAAATGACGTGTGTGAAACACATTAGCGAGAGGTAAGCGGTGAGTGGCGAGCGATGGGCGGTTTAGTGTTAAATAAAATATTTTTAACATTAACGTTTCAATTATGTGTTCACATTAACTAAGTGCTGCGCTTTGAAATATAAATAAAATATAAATTCAAAGTTCTTACCCTTCAGCTCTCACCGTTCGTGGTTCACTGCTTACCGCCACGCCAACGCCCGTGTTTGCACCCTAGTTAGTATTAGCTTCGTTGAAATTTACACGATGAAGAACTTACATTTCAAAGTGTCATAACTTTACAAAAAATCAAAATTTTCGAAAACAAAAAAAAACGATGTGATATATTTTCCTTCTGATAATGAAAAAAAAAATAGTTTGCAAAGATTTTACTAATGGTCTAGAAGGAATATGGGAGGCTGCGCATTTTTGTAACTTTTTTCTCAAACTTTTTCAATTTTTTTTCTGCAAAACTTTTTCAATCAGTGCTGATAGTGGTGCCTTAAAATATAGTTTGGGTTCCATGCTCCAGTATTGAGATATTGTATAACCTAAATCCACCAGCCACCACTGGTCCCAAGATAGATGTAGCAAGAGGTGTAATGGACAACAAATTGTCGAATTTTGGAATGGCACTTGGTGATTCAATCCTGCTTGATGTAAAACTAAGATATATCATGTTATCGATGTTATACAGAGTGTTTTATACTCCAATTTATAAAAGTCGTCATTAATAAACTACCTTTATTTTTCAAGATAAGAAAAAATTCTATTAAAAAAAGTTATTTAGAATGCAATGTGTGTCCTTTTACTAAATTTCAGAAACAGAAATTTACTTTGTTGGAACTGTCCCTTTTTACAATAAATTAATATGTTATTTTGAATTTTTAAAAATTATTTTTGCAAGTTGAATGCACTCTGAAATCACAAATATCTTTTCTAAAATAAATTAGTATTATGAATAACTTTTGTTTTTAACATCTTATCTTATTTTCAACAAAAAATTGACTACTAGTGAAAAATGGAGCAGTTCCACAAAGTAAATTTATATTCCTAAAATTTAAATGGGATTTTTTCATATATTGAAAAATAAAGGTAGTTTATTAGAAATAACCTGTATAATATATATTCAACTCATTATTGATACATACATGAAGCAGGAATGGTTCCAGAAGTTTCAATCCAAAACTCGAACATGTTTTGTCCATTACACTCTTGTTACATCTATCCTGGGCCACAGTGTATATACCGCTGCGTCTGATACAAGCAGTAAAACATTTTCACTTTTAACACTTTTTGAGGCTTCCTGGTCGAGTGGTAAGGACACTTGCCTCTCACGCTGGATTCCCGGATTCGATCCCCGGTCAAGAAGCTAGGATTTTTTTCTAAACCAGAAATGAATCTTAGCATGCTCGGACGTTGGGAGTGTATCCATTGTCTGTAAATGTGTAGCCCTCTTCCACACAAGGTACCTTGAGGTACCTTCAAGGATACGGGGGTTATATTACCTGTAATGTTAATAAGTTAAAAACATTATCACAAAAAGCATTTACCATTATTTCCTCAACTGTTCGCGCATTGATTTGCAGCACCCGTTTACTACATATTAACAGTGGAGATGTACTCTAAACAGCACTTAAAATACGCATATTAATATTAATAATTATACGTTCCTTAAAATTCATGGCTTCGTCAACACAAATCCACACGTACTGATTTTTCGCGTCCTCAGTGCTTGGTGGCGTGTCTGGTCGCAGAAAAAATATGATTTCTGTATTCCATTCAGAATTAAGCGTAAATGAAATAAATGGATTAGTGCATGGCAAATTTTTATGATCATTTGCATCCGTACCTACCCATTGGGAGAAATATTATATCCCTAGTATATGGTTTCGCAGAAAACTGGCGACTTATCGGCAGTACTGTAACTTGCCATGCAGGTATTCTTTCGTCAGCTGGACAGTAGTTGTTACTATTTATTTTTATTTTCGCTCCAGCTATCTATGCACTGCGGCGTTTGGAACAAACTGAATTGAATAGTAAATATGGTCTCGCTGCGCATGCACACTACTCTCCTTTCCTACGGGAAAGACAGGTCGATCGGGAAGCCGATCCCGGGATTTACGGAGATTCAGGAAAATTATCCGGCATCTAACGATGACTTCATTTTTAAATATTCTGTACCAAAAAATGCGCAATTAAAAATCGAAATCGATGTATCTGAGGTTTTTTTGATAACCTTGTATCATCAGAGAAAATGAATTTATTCCATACTTTTGTTAGACACTGTATATTAAGAATCCAATATACTTAATTCTTGATGCTAAGCTGCAAATTAAGAAATTAGCTGAATATTACACAATTGATTTTGTATGTTATAATAGTTTAATTTTTATTTCATACTAAAAAACGTTTTTGAGTTTTCTCTGCAAGTAAACTAAAATTTTGATTACAGTCTGAAGAACGCGGAGCCAACACGTATAGAAATAAATTAAGACCTATGGCAAAATCAACAAACAGCAGTCAAGAACAACTAAAGGCTACTGATTCTAGTCCTAGCGTCCTTCCAGGAGAACCTGAGGATGAGGATGATAATGGGGTATATGATGTGCCTTATAATGATGGTTACTGGATATACATTGATGAAAGAGATGAAGTTAACTCCTGCAAATCATCGTATTCTTCACCTACCGGTAATTAGAAATTCCAATTTTTATTCGTTATTTTTATGATATAAAGCTTATTGTTTTTGTCAATACTTTTGGATGTAATAATTTATATGTAGATATTTTTGCACATAATTAAGGACATGTATTGTACGTTACTTTGTACATTTATTTTATACAGAAAATAAAATTCAAAGACGATTTAAATTTTGTTTTTGTTTTATCGCCCATATTCCATATCCATATTCCTAATTTGGATAAAATATATATTTCTTTTTTAAAAAAAATTCAATTCCAATATAAAATGTAACATGTTATAGTTAATTCCAACTTTTACTTTCAAATAAACTGTAAACAAAAAGGGGCCGAAATAGAAATAAATTTTTTATACAAAGATTGAACTGATCTTTGAATTTTATTTTCAATAAGTGATGTATGTGTGTTATTATATAAAATATTTTAAACGAAAAGTTTATCTAATAATGATTTAGATAATAAAAATTTCAAATAACCATAATAAAATAATAATAATATTAATAATAATAATCGATGTCGATGCCCTAGATATGTGGGACTACACACTAAACTGTAGGGCCTCGTCTCTCTTTACTCAACACAAAATCCTAGGATTTTCTGGGAGTTACTTCGGTGACTTGAGAGGCGGTTAAGAAAACATTTTAAAACATTTTTTTTAATAAAGGTTCAGTGGCAAATATCAGGAAATAAGTTCATCTTATTCTAACACAATAGACGACTGTTTAATTTTCTAAAATTTATCAGTTCTATGAAGTAGATAGTGAAAGTCACACTACATCACTAAGTTTCATACTGCATTTGCCAAAACACGTACAAAAAAAAGAAAAAGGTTTCCTGTGGGGGTATGTCTGGAAACGCATCGTTAAAAAGTTACGTCCCTCCAAAATTGGAAGCTGAAATTAGGTTTTTTAATTTTTTTCTCAAATTTGGAAAAAAGATAAAAAATGAATTTTGGTAGATATGTTCTACAAATTTCTAAAGGACATTTTTTCAATCATCCCTTATTATCATGTAAAAGTGTGTCTTGTAATGTGATTTCCCAAATAACCGTGTGGATCGATAACATTTTATATTTTTATTCAAAAACTTTTAGTTCGATGAAAAAAAAGAAAGACAAAAGAGTTTCTAAATGAATCAAGTTTCCGAGGCACCTTTTTATATGATAAAATTCGGGTCCGTTAAAAAGTTCGATTAAAAAAAAAAAAATTTTACTGATAAAGGGTGATTGAAAAAATATCCTTTAGAAGCGTTCCTATTGGTAGAAAATCTCTACCAAAATTCGCTTTTTTGTCTTTTTCCAAATTTGAAAAATAAATTAAAATCTAATTTTAGCCGCCATCTTTGGAGGGGCGTAACTTTTTAACGAAGAGTTTCCGAATATACCTCCATATGAAACTTTTTTCTTATTTTGAGGTCTTGAATTCAGATTTTAAGTTTGTCCAATTAATCCTGAAACATCCTGAACAAATCGTGGGCTTAAAGCCAAAAGTGACCAAGGCCAAAACCAGCATTTTCTGGTTTTTTTTTGACCAAGTAACAAGAAATTCACTTACCTCTTCTTGCAAAAATTGACCAAGTACTGTGAGAACCCTAAAGTTGTTTTATTAAAACAAGTTTTTTTGATCAAGTCTAAAAATAATACATTTTATGCGAACAAAAAAAATTGCTTTGATAGATAATGAGATTCAAAACTTTAAATTATGATATTTATAAAAACATTTATATGGATTTTCTACTTAAATTTTTATTCTTATAAGCTTATGTTTAAAAATTAAAAAAACAAAATTACCAGTTTCTCAAAAATGAACATTTTGGACTTGGTCACTTTTGGTTTTAAGCCCGCGAAATTGAAGGGGATCTCGAAGCCTTCAGTCGCGCAGTGCCAGTAAAGTAAGTTCTGTAGTGACAGTATGGGCAGTCTGCGACCATGTACTGTGTTATGTTATGTTGTTTTGTGCATATCATTTTAATCGTTGAACGTTGAGAGTTATTTTTTATGCTCAATAAATAAGTAGAGATCTGGAGATAGCGATAAATTTCAGAGACAACTTTTAGGTAGATATAATATTATATTGTAAACACCTAATGAAACATTCCCAAACAATATGAAATAATAAATGTACTATGTAATAAATCTGTAACTTTATAAAAAGGGGACAAAAAAATTAAAGGCCTTTATCAGGTAATTGGACATCTTGCAACAATGGAAGAAACAATGACTTGCTGACCGTAATATCTTGACGGAGAAATGCTCCCTATTGTCGAGTGTCCAATAAAAATGCATACATAGATATAGGCGGATCGGTGGCTTGACCATCACATTTACTCCCACTGCCCCATGTTGGAAATGAATAATACACTCTAAGTACCAAGTATTTATAAAACGTCTGAGTCAATACCACGTAGATACGTAAATAGTGCGAAATTAGAGAAAACGGAGATTAACTTTTTTTAAAACATCACGCTCAATTTTTTCAGAGGATAAAGTGAACTTGTGAGAGTATTAAACAAAAAAAAAATATTCTGCACTAAATGACAAATACATCATACGGATTAGCGTGGATGAAACCACCAATGCTTACGGCTGGAAGGTAGCAAATGTTTTAATTGGTGCATTAATATTAATAATATATTTCTACTCTTGTGATCGCTAGTTAAAGTACATGTGTGTTAGTGTTAAATTCATCCATACTTTCAGCCCTCCTCATATTACCTTCAGATGTTACCAAACTCGCCGAAATAACCACAAGGTAAAAAATTGTGTCATATATGCATGAACATATTTACGCGGTGACAGATCATTTAGCGTCAACCCGGGAATTGAAGAAGTTATCACTACCTCGCGATTTCTAATAATAAGTAATAAATAAGATTGGGCAAAATATTCGATTAATTGATAAAGTAATCGATAATTAATTATCGATCATTGGATTATTGTTTCACAATATTCGATTATATCCGATAATCGATAAATCGATTATCGATCATCGAATAACCGAGGTACGATTATAATCGATTAACCGATTAATCGAATAACCGATTAATCGGAAATAATCGATTAATCGGATTATTCCTAATGATCGATTTTCGATTATCAAATTTTATTGAAATCCGATTTTTATTTATTTATTTCTTTTTGACAGAACATTTTCGCATTTTCGGAAAACACTGAAAGACCTTTATATTATTAATTCAAAGACTAGTCCATTATATGACTTCGTCGGTCGACCAGTAATGATACTCTCAAGTTTGATCCACGGGCGAGGTACTGAGATTATTTCAGAAAATGGATATTGGAAGTGTGATCATAATCTCCTAGAAATGTGTAGACCCCACCTGTATAACGTTTTTAGGGATTTTTTTTGCACTACCTGTTATTTTAACAATGTACTCAAAAAATCACTGAATTGATGTTTTTAAAAACAAAATAATAATAATAATAACAATAATAATAATAACCTGGTGCCCCTCCTACTTCGGGTTCCATACGACCTCAGAAGAAGGGCCCCTCACGATCGACCCCAAGCGGATGGGGGTCAGAGACAGGCGGGAGGGGCCTCACCGGACGGTCTCAATAATGACGAGATTCGCAACGTACATGGACGCTTTAAGTGGACGAGGGAACTTCGGGATGACTTGCTGACCTGCCGCGAGAGTAGCGAACCTGAGCGAA